CTCTCCCCTTCCCCCTCCTCCCCCACCCCCAGTGCATTCCCAGAAGCAGAACAGACAGACCTGCGTCCGCAAGAGCCTCATCTGCGCCTTCGCCATGGCCTTCATCATAAGCGTCATGCTGATCGCCGCCAACCAGATCCTGCGCAGCGGCATGGAGTAGCAGCCCGCCGGCAGCCGGCCCCAGCTCTCAGTGCATGCGCACGCCCTGCGGGCACTCTCCTCCTCAAAAGCAGATTTGGACGTTGCAGGCGTGGCACAGTTCAGCGAAGAACCCAAGGTTGCAGTGCAACCCGTGTTGCAAGTCCACTTCATCTCCTTGGCAGGGACACAAAAGGGCTGTCTTAAATGCTTTAATGGTTTTGTTTCCTAATGCAATAAAATAGCCAGGAGTTCCGAATGATTGCTTCAACCACCTGCAGGAGCTCCGAAGAGAAACTTCATTGTCATCTCGGATTCCAATGGCCCTCCAGACCGACGGTGTAAGAGAGCAAGGGAGAGGCGTGAACACGCAGTCACCTCCCCACCACATTCTTTAAACCCAGGGGTCAACTGGAGACACCCCCCCCACCTGCAGGGCAACCCAAAGGATGACTTCGGAGTTGCTGCAGAATAGGGGGCTCTCCGCTTGGCCCTGGCTTTCTTCCTCTACCTAGTGGAGCCCCCCAAGGCGTGAGGGGAAAGCCGTCGGATGGGGTGCAGGACCTGGCAGCCTGCAGCTGCTCCCATGCTTCCATTCCTACAGCCTTTTCTATAGGACTCTAGTTGGCAGAGTTGGGGAGTTCTCGGTTTCCATCTGCACCTGGCTTTCTGTTCCTAGAGCCCATCACGCACCAGCATTTTGGAATGTGCAGAGAGCCTTCCTCCCAGCTTTGCTGCCTGTGCTGCCGTTAAAGAAAAAAGAAGCATAATCGTGGGCATCTCTATAATAACAGGCACGTAGATAGACGTATATATTTGGCTTATCCTTCCCTAATTGCCTACTCCTCGTATAAGCTTGTCCTCCGACGCTCCCTGCCTCTCTGGAATGGGAGCGGTAGTTTGGGGGACAGGGGACTGAGACTGGTGGTGAGGAGGTGTTGCAGCCCAAACCACGTCATCCGCAGCGATGGACCCCGCACACATCTCCCTGCCCGAAGACCTCTGTGAGTTAAGGTCCTTGTGCATCTTACCTTTTCCTCATCTGACGATTTGCTTTGTAAGTTAGTCTTCCCCAGCATTTCAGAGTGGAAAGATCCAGCTACAGTATTTTATAGAACACCTTCAGGCATTCAGATCCTGCAACTGACTCCCGGCCATGAGAAAAAACAAAAAGATGTTCCTAAGCTTAGCCAACAGGACAGGTCATGGACTCCTGCCTGCAGAAGGTGTCCGTTGGGGAAGGAAACTGAATCCAGTAGTCTGTTTTCAATCAACACCATTTCAAGTCTGTAATTTCCTGACGTTCCCTCGATGTCGTATCAGCCACCACTGTTAATTCAAGCCTTCATAGCCTGATTAGCCAACAACCTTGCAGTGGAAGATTTCCCTTTGTACTTTTCCAAGCTCAGGTCTTTACTTCTATGATGGAATAGTCTCGCTCCTTTCTTCCTGTTGCATCGAAAGCTACATGCTTTCCCCCTTTCCTCCAGTACTGAGGCGCCAGAGTCTGTCCTCTCTCCCTGCAGCCAGGCAGGCTTTGTGGTGGGGGTGTGTTGCTGAACCCCTCCTCAAGCCCCTCCTTCCTCTCCACTTTCTCCCTGCTGCCTTCTCAGACTTGGAGCATCCAAGGTCTCAGTTTAGGGTCTTTTTCCAATTCACCTCTGCAAGCGCTTCGGGCAACAGCCTGGGGCAGCTGTAGGAACTTCTCCTCCGTGGGAGGCCCAGCATATCCGTGGTGATGAGCACAAGAAAAACTAGGGTTTGAGCCATAGTACGGAGGAGGGAGCAGGTGTAAGCTTTTGAGAGCCCCTTGGTTTGAGAGTCTCTCTGTGAAAATGCCTGGGGTCCCGCACATCCAGACCCGGAAAGCACCAGCCTGCCTGCCCCTCCTGCCTGCCCTGCCCTGTCACATACACCCTGCCCGTCTGCCTCTCCTCTCTCCCCTTCCCTGACTCACCACGCTCCCCCCCATCAGAATCCTGAACAAGAACAGGTCCAAACACAGCTTACTAATAGGACAGCTTCACCATTAGCTCCTGCCCAAAGCAGGTGGCCCTCCCTCTCTCAATTGCACTTGGGTGGGAAGGGCCTCCTGAACCACCAGACCATGTAGTACTGGGGAGGGAGGTGGTGCAGGATCCTAAGTAGACTGGGTAGAGACCTCAGGGACGATTCTTAAAGGACCATGCCCAGGAGAGGGGATGGCAATGCAGTAGGTGAGGCTGGACTTGAGGGCTATGAAAGGGTACTTCTCCAAAGGCTGCTGCTCTGCAGGCTCTCCTGCCTCCCCCTGGAGATTGGGGACCCTGAAGGTGAGGGTTAGCCTTTGTTGGAGGACAGACTAGCCACCATGCAGGGGTGGAGATGAAAAAGAGTTCTGGGAAGGCACCAACAGCCTGTTCCTTGCAAAGTCCTTAGCATCTTTCCCCAAAGAAGACTTCTTTCCTCTCCCAGTGACCCAGTGACTGGGAAGCCAGCCATCCCACCTGGAGAAAATCTAGGGGAGTGCACCCCTTGTGGGGGTTGCCAGGGAGAGAGGACACAAAGGAAGCCACAGAGCTCTCTTTGATGGCTAGAAGTTAACCTCCTCCATGGTAACCTCCCATGTGCCACCCACGGCCTGCAGCATGTGGAGACACCCAGAGCAGTGGCCTTCCTGAGACTTCAGGAACTAAGGGTCGTCCTGGTGACTTGCTTTGCCTGGATGGTCTGTCAAGGGAGTTGGGCTTCTCTGTCAGGCAGCTCAGGATGTTGACTTCCCACAGCCCCACCCCCAGTCCTGTCCACGCCAGTGCTACCGCAGGGCTCCATGCCCGTCAGCACCCTTGCCACAGGGGTCATGATGCCCATGGATGAATTCTAGAAGGTTCTGGTCCCTATGCCTTGTGGCCCCGGTGGTAGGTCATCTCTGCAGGAAAGGAGAGGAGGACCCAACTCTCCCTCTGTACTCCCAGCTAATAGACAGAGAGGTCTATTCTGGGGCTGCTGAGTGACTGGCAAACTGAGCTTGGCTCATTCTTGTTGCAAGAATGGGTGCCCCCCACACCACATAGGGATGATCAAAGGGGCGTTTTGCCTGTGAGACTAAGGACACAGATCCTGATGCCCTTGGCCCCAGAGAAGCTGTCACCCATCACTCCGGAAGCAGACAGAGCCCCCAAACAGGACCCAGCATGGGAACTATTAGCAGTGACTTTCAGAATGTGTGTGTAGGTCCCATGTGACCAACCTGTTAAAAAAAAAAAAAGATGTTGCCATGGCAACCCTTGCATTCCACCCTGAGTTTGCCAAGGCGCACAAAAATAGAGAACATTTTCTTAAAGAACACTTGGGTTCCGCCTGATTGCAACCCCACTCCCTGCATCCATGTCCTGCTGGTGGGGGAAATTACCCTTAACCGATCTCATGGTTTCCCTGCCTCTCTCGTGTTTGAACCTGCCCTCCCATTTGCTCAGGAGAAAGGAGCTGCCTGTGAGCCAGGTGGCATCCTCCCTACTCTTCCCCTCCCCACCTCCCAGGGCCCAGAGCAAGGACCTCTTAATGGGGTGAAAAGTCAGAAATGTCATCCTCGAGGCAAAACCTATTTTAAGCTCAGTCTTCAGAAGCATCTGTTTGCTGGTTAAGAAGCTCTCCCACAAACCAGAAATGTGAACTGAAGTGAATCGAGTTTGGCATGTGGTCTTGGGCAAGTCCAGTGGTTTCAGAAGATTCTGGGTGTTTTATTTGCAGAGAAGATGTGTCCTGCGAGTCTTCATTCTTGACACCTGCTCCTGTCCCAGATTTCACGTGACAAATGGGCTACTCCAGCGATTTTCAACCTTTTCCATCTCATGGCACACATAAACGAATTACTAAAATTCTGCAGCACACCCCAAAATACACTTTTTGCCTATCTGACCAAAAAACAGGCGTAATTTTGATTCATTCACACCAGATGGCTGGCTGTTGTTGTGTTGGCTGTTGTCATTTTTTTATTTGACAACCTAAGGGAAGAGAGGTCAGTGCCCCTGGCTGGTCAGGTATTGCGTGCTGTAAAAAGCCTTGCGGGGCTCCTAGTGAGTCTCTTGTCTGCTCTCTCGCAGTTAGCCAGAGGGAGCTAATGAAAGATGGAGAGCTCATTTTGGTAATAATGCCCCTCCCAACCTCCCATCCATGGCATCATAAAGTGATATATCTAAGAACTGGGAAGAAGAAATCTATCTTTTATTCCAAATGCCTTCCAGACTCAGATCATAAATCAAAGAGACGTTTGCTCTTCACCAGTAGCTCGAGCGTCCCTGGGACCACATGAGGGCATGCCCAGAAGAGTGCGGTGTGGCTGCTCGGCACGGCGCCTTGGCTGGGCTGGCCCGGCCAGTGGCCTGTGCCCTGGAACCCTGCTCCACTTACTGCGCCCCTGCTCTCCACCCCTGCGGGAGCTGCTGAGCCCTGCTCCTCCCAGCCGGAGGCCTCATTTTACTGCACTATTTCCCCAAAGGCCCCTAGTGATCATGTTTCTCACCCCGTCCCACTGCGATATAGAGAAGGTCTTGAACCCCACTGTAAAAAGGAGATGCCCCTTTTCTCCAACACCATGATGATGCAGATGGACTGAGCTTAAGCTTCTAGACTTCGGCACATACCAGTTATGTTTCCAGGAGGACTGCACAGCTGCCTTCCCTAGAGAACATCTGTATGGAATGACTGCAGGTCAGTGACCTCTCAGGGCTCAAAGTCCGTAACCTAGAGGCCTTGCCATAGCCATCCTCCCTCACCACCTCATGGCTTGATGCCCCCAGGATGGAAAAAATCCATCAGAAATAGAAAAGAAACGTTATTCAGCAGCTAGGGGTTTCCATCTGAATTATTTAAAGCGATGGCAAAAGAGAGGAGCATTTGGGCTGCCTCTTACGGACCCTGTGTCCATGACAATTTAAGTGTCAGAACTGTTCAGCTTCACTCCATCTTTCCTTGACTAAGTCACTCAGGGGACTGTTCTCAGTTATGTGGCCTTGCCAGAGACACTCGATTTGGAGGAGTAAGGTCAAGTACACAAACCAGCCAAGCACTTCTCTTAGTATCCTACACTCGTTGCTAATGCACACTGTCATTTTTACAGCTATGGTTCCCACTTAATGTTGGTTTGGGGTCCTTTTTCTATGGTCTCAAGGGACGTTATAACAATGCTCGAAAAGTCTTCAAGGCAAAATTAATTTGATTCAGTTGGCTTGAAATACAGCCACAAAGAATCAGGTTTTGCTATTCCCATAAAACAGTTCTCTAAAACTGGAAAAGACTTGCCCAGCCTCCCACCCCTGAGCCCTACCGTGGGTCGCTTGCTGAGCAGGCCCCAACCCCCGTGCTGGCACCTCCCTCACCCACCTTGTTTCCTGAGCGTGATGGGTTGGCTTTCAAACAGATGCTCCTGACATTGTTAGAAGTTATTGTCCAAGTGAAAGGATGCAGAGGCTGGAATTTTCCAGTGGAGTAGAAGAGCAGAATAATTAGGAAGGAATATTCCAGGGAATGCAAAATTCAAGTATGTTGTTGCTCCATCCCTGGACCTGAGAGAGAAAAAAGAAAGTTTCTCAAGGGCTGCAGAGACTGGTCTCTGAACTTGCTCCCTGTATATCTGGCCTGCTTTGGGAACATACAGGGCATTTGGGAACATACAGGGCCCCCACGGGGCTGCGGCCCATCAACCTGATCCTGATGACATGCCCTGGGAATTTCAAGAGCAGGAGGGTTGCTCGAGTCTCCTTGGGTGATGTTGACATCTGCCAAGCCCAAAATGCCTCTTCCAGGGCTTTTCGTCTGGGCTCAGACTTGTTGAACTGAAGTCAGGGGAGCAGAGCATAAAACCAGAAGTGTGGACAGCACTTTCAGCTGAGAAGGGCACAGGAGGCAGGACCTCAGATGCCCCTGCCACCCACCAACCTGATAATTGAGTGACTTCACTTCTTTGGCCTCAGGTTTCTCATCTCTAAAGCAAGAGGAAAGGTAAACCAGATGACCCAGAAGAGCCTTCCCATTGTGACTGCTTGTCTGAAACAAAATGAATTCCCATACTTGAGAGGGCCCTTAACTTATATCCCCTATGAATTACACTAGAGACTGATGGTTTCTCTTGTATCACAAGTGCCAAGAGGCAGTTTTAATCAAGTATCTCTTGTCTATAGGCGAAACAATGCAAATTGGCTTATATCAAATGTGTTGTATCTTGCGTGCAAGAGGTTTTATTTACTTCCTAATGTTTTGCTGATTCAAGGGAGCATCCTGGATAAGTCCTGGCTCAGCCAGTGTGAAAATTAAGAGGATTTGATCACCTTACTACAGGTGACATGAATCAGAACACATGCAGAAGTAGGGTGAACCAAAGCCAGATTCCAGGAAAAGATGCTTGTTTCTCTGACTGAGAAAGCCCAAAGAAGCTGCTGAGTAAAGAGCACAACTTCTGGTCATTTCTTTCTTTCCTTGTTTTCTGGCCACTGGAACAGCAGTTCCTGTATATGTGATTGTGGTTTGCAGTTATTTGTGACACTGCCGAAGGAAGAGGGTCGTGTGACCTCTGGTGACTGTCAAGAATTAGATGAACAGTCTGGGGCGACCAGCTGTCTGCGCTTGCCCGTTAGCTGGCTGGTGAGTGACGTTGTGCACAGGTGCCTGCTGTTGATGGGGTCCAAGCATGACCAGGGGTAGAGGGCAGGAAGAGAGGGGCTGCAGGAGCCCCCAAAGTCTCCAGCCTTTCTGCCCCATGACAGCATGACCTCCTAGGTTTCTGTCCTTTTTTGTTCTTTGTTTTCATTGCTCTCCTTCCCTGGAAAGACCTAGATTGGCCAGGAAAGGACCCTCACAGCTCCTGGTGGAAATTTACACAAGTCCGTGTCTCTCAGCTTCCTCCAAGGAAAATCAAAGGATATTCTTTCTTTCTGATCTGGAAATCAGGTTGCAGGAGTCCTTGAATGGCTTCTTAACGGGGTTTGATTTTTCCTCCCCAATTCTGAAGCCAAGAAGAAGCTATTTCTCCAAGGACTAACCAAAGACAATGCCCTTGGAGGGGAATCAGACCCGAAAATCTGGTCAGGGAGCAGGGTTGGCAGATGATCTGGGGTCAGGGGAGTCACTGCAATCCTAGGGCGCATCAGAGTTGAGACGTGAATTTTTTCTCAAAGCACAGTAGTAAATGGCTGGATGCAAACCGGAGTGCAGCTGGGGACTGTTACAACCAGGACAACTGGAGCTCAGCCACTCTCATGTCCAGAGTGGGCCACAAAGACTGAAATCCTGGGTCCCAATCCTCCCGTTACCTCATTCTTGTCTCTCCCCCCCCCATTTAGTATTGGTTGATGATTCCTGCTGTTAAGCGATGAGAGAGTCTTTTGACTAGCAGACTAGTCAAAAGAAAATCTTTATATAAAATGTAAATATTAATATAAATTAACTTGGCATGCAAAGTACTGATCCAATGAAGCATATATTATTAATATGTTATCTCAGTGTATAAAGGAAAACTGACTGCCATATTTACCAGATGTTTTCTCTAACCAAACCTGTCTGTAAATATATAATCTGTATAAAAAAAGAGTCTAATTTACCATTATTTATGCAATAGAAAAAAATAAAAGTTTTTTTTTCTTTTGATGAGAGATTCAGTTCATTATATGTGGTATGATTTGCAAGTGGGTCATGAATTTCATCCCCGTGACCCTGAAGGGCAACCAGATCTATGGGGATGACTGTTCAGTGTCACCAGCTTCCAAGAAGCCAGCGAAAAAGCAGCCAGGGATCTGGTCGTGCGGTGGGTGGGGTTTTAGCGGGGGAGGATGACTGACAATAGGGAAATAAGCTGACTCTGGAGCACATGGTGAGAAACATGAAACATCTCTGGCCAGGGAGGCACCCAAGCTAATGGTGTCATCCTTTCGGTATTCCATTTACTAAACTCTCCCCAACTTTAGCATTCAGGCATTGCATGCTTTTGCTTAAGCTTTTGGAATGTGTCATGTTATTTGAGCTTCTTGGACAGAGAAAAGGACACTCATTCCTTTATATCAATAAAGAAATAAGGGGAACCAAAAAGTTAAGTGATTTGATTAAGGGCACATGCGGAGATTCTGCCTTAATTTGGACCAGACATCTCCAAGCACCATGAAGGCATCTCTTACTTTCTTTACTTTTCAGGAATGTTATCACACGTTTTTCTAAATGTCTTGTACCTACGTCAAAAATCTGAGTTTCCATGGGAGTAGGATCTCCCAGGGTCCCCAATTTTAAGTTTTGCAATTTACACACCTTCATAGGGGGCATTTATTAAGTAAAATCACTAAGCATTTGTTATTCCCTAAAAATTCTAAGAATAGAATTCCAAATTCTGGGCATAAAGCACAAGTTTTTTTCTTTATTAATGGGGGACCCTGGCAAACTCTACTGAGATAATAACTTGGATTTATTCTCTCTGATCTGAGTTTTAAGGTGTTTTTTTTTTAATTATAAGGAAACATTTAGTCATGAATATTCATTCTCCTGGAATACTTACCAGAGTAGGCAGTGTCTTGTAGGAGACAAAAGGCCCCCAGGGGACTGACAACAGAACTCAAGTCTCTGACCCCAGACCACAGAGAGCAATTTAGAAGCTCGAAGGTTCATTGCCCAACCTTGGCCTAAACTAGGTAACAGCCAAGGTAAAGCAGAGCCTGCCCTTAACATGTGAACAGAACTTTGAATCCCAGTGGGGTTTTTTATACTTTTGCTGATAAGTGAATTTCAAAGGCTTTTCTTTCAGATAAATGTTTGTCTGTGGTCCAGCCATGTGCACAATTGGAAAGCTGTGCCTGTCACTTTTCCCAATCTTGGATGGGTAACCTGTGGCATGTAGCTTGGCCTCGAGTGGCAAAGGATTGGTACCTTGGCTGAAGTGAGCACCCGAGGCCAAGTTTCCAGGCCCATCTGACACTCCCTGGTTTTATTTCACCGCAGCACACCTGGGCTTCCATCACTGGGCAATGGGCCGAGAGAGAAAGCAGCTGTGCTCCAGCCCACCCTGCAAGAGTCCCCAGTTCCTGAAGCATCGCACTTAGGGCCATGCTCTAGCCCCCAGTGTAGGCCAGTGTGTGGTCAGAAGGCTTTCCTGGCCTGGGGGGTCTTCAGCAATCAGCCCTGCAGCTGTGCTCTGAGTTGGCCAGGACCCTGCTCTGAAGTCTGAATTTCCTAGGATGAGGCGGGAGGGAGGATGCAAGTGCCTGCTTCAGGGCTGTGCTAAGATGACATGCTGGCTCGGGCTCTTTGGGGCTCATCAGCCCAACCTGGCTCTCATAGCCTTTGTCTCCCACTCTCCCTGGCTTTCCTCTCTACTGTCAGGGATAGTTTGAAGTCAGCTGACCTTCAAAGACATCCAGGGTGCCCTGGCTGGTGTGGCTCAGTTGGTCGGCCATCACCCCATACACCAAAAGGCTGCTGATTCATTTCCCCATCAGGGCACATGCTTAGGTTGTAGGCTCGATCCCCGGTAGGGGGCGTGCAGGAGGCAGCTGATTGATGTATCTCTCTTCCATGGATGTTTCTCTCTCACCCTCTCCCTTTCTCTCTAAAAATCAATAAAAATATATTTTTAAAAAAGACCTCCAGGACAATGTTCTCAACCCTGGTTGCACCTGAGAATGGCCTGGGGCGCTTTAAGAAAATGCCAAGCCCTGGCCCTGCCTCAGGTGTTCTCATTCCATTGTTCCGGGGGGCAGCCTGGGCTGCAGGGGGCTCATTCCCCAGCTGAGCATGAGGGCACTGAGGTCCTAGTCTTTCAGGTTTGGGTGATTTTGGGAGAAGCAGGCCTGGCCTCTTAGTAAATGGTTCTCGAAGTGTGGTCCCTCACCTAGAGCCTGGGAACTTGTTAGAAAGGCAAATTCTCAGGCCACACTCCAGAAGTCAGAGGATCTGGAGGTGGAACACAGCAACAAGCCCTCAGGAGTGAAGACATCAAAATCAATACATAGTTATTATTACTGGAATCATCAGGGGCTTCATACACAGAAAGATGCCTGGGCCTCACCTCAGACCTGTGGAGCCAGAACCCCAGGGGGAAGGATTGCTGGTGGGGGCACTGGAGGAAGCCTGAGGAATATTGAGAAGGGATGTGTGAACCTGAGTCAGCTCAGCAGCCTGACACGGCAGGGCTGGGACCAGGAGCCACTTCCTTGGGTGACCCTCAGCAAGGTTCCTCACTCCTAGGTCTTAGGAGATATTTCCTGGGCTGGTCTCCAGGTTGTCACCTGCAGCTGTGGCCCGCATCCCCTAAGCACAGCAGCAGAGACCTGTGTGGGGCTCCAGAGCCGTCAGCACTCCCTCCGAGGAAGGAGCCGATGGCTTATAAACTGAAGGCTCTTGCTGGCCTTCCCTCCTGCCTTTCAATGTCAAAGTCATGACTGCCAGGCTGCCCTTAAGAAGCCAAGGAGTGGGAGTGGAGAATGCAAAATACCCGACACTTCCCCACTTTCCCTAAGATTAATCTGGATGAGAGCAGAGCAGAAGTGAGCACAGAGAAGGAGTGGATTGCATGGTGTGTGAGTTACAGCTCAATAAAGCCGTCACAAGCTGAGCGCAGAAGCAGCAGTGAGAGAGGAAAGGATGCAAAGAGGTGCGGGCGCAGGGGCGGCCCTGAGCCTCCTGTGCATGTGTGAGCCTCAGGCCATGATCTGGGGCAGCCGGCGGAGTCCCCCCTTCTCCCAGTCTCCTCAGGCAGAAGGCCTGCCTCTCAGAAGCAATGCTGACCAGGCATGGGCACCCCCATCCTCAGCGGTCTCTCTCTGCTAGGGGCCTCCCCCAGCCTCCACTCTTCCCAGCCTTTCGGGAGGGAGAGGACCCAGCCTGACCCCCGCGCACTGGAGCCTCTGTGGCCCACGAATCACATGGAGTGGTTTCTTCATGGTCAGAGTCACTTCAGTGCCAGCCCCCAGCCCTCCCCAGCCCTCTCCTCTAAGATGGCATATCCCTTTAGAAAAGAGAGCTTGGGGGTGGGGTGGGGGGACTGGAGGTGTCTGCAGTGCAGTCATGTAAGGGGGTAAATGGGTTGTGCTGTGTGGCCCAGGGACGGGCTATGCACAGACTCCAGTTTATCTGTGACCCTGGATGGACAAAGGCCTCAGCCCCGAGACTAAAACAAGCTTCTTAGCTACAGGACAGCTTATTTTTCTCATCATCTGTACTCCTAGCACCTCACATTGTGCCAAGCACATAGTAGGTGCTCAACTAATATTTTCTAAATAGATAAACCAGACTACCCTGCATTGCTCAGATATCTAAATGCTCTGGTGGTGCAGGGTTCCTGTGCCCTCCCTTCCCTCTGCCACATTCCACCATCTGCATCTTCCTGCCCCTGGTTCCCACACCTTTGTCAAAACCAGGCACAGCTCATATCTGCATGTTTGTTTGTTTCGTGTTAGCTCCTCCAGCGGGTCCAGGAATTCTTTATCCCCTTTGAAGAGCCAGGTTCAGCCCCTTCAGCTTCCCCTTGAGGTGCCATCAGCTGGCAGCTGGCCTCCTCTGGCTGGAAGACGAGCCCAGGCCCTTCCCTGAGAGCCTCAGCATCAGTCCCCTTGGCTTGGTCGGAGCCGGGGTCTCAAGGGCTCCACAGCTGCCAGGCATCGCCCTGCTGGGCTCGGCTGGATGTGGTTCTGCCAACAGCTCTACGCAGTTCCCTCCTCTCCTCTCTGCAGGCCTCCATCAACACCTGCTGACTGCCAGGCCCACCATGCAGCAGCCTTCACTGGTGGCTGCTGCTTTAGAAACTCATTCCAGTAACTAGCAAGTGTCTACCAGGTCCCCTCAAGATTCAGATGGAGAGTAAACAAGACACCAGGAGTTTTTAGTCCAGTAGAAATGACTGACAAGTAAACCTGTAAGCCCGGGGTCAGAAGCCCTGGAAGAATTCACTACAGAAAATTATAACAGTATAAAGGAAGGAGCATGGCTCATTTAAAAACATTTTGTATTTATAATTAGGAAATATTAAAAACACACAAAAAATAATATAAAAGACACAATATATGTAAAATTCCTACTTAGCAGATGTTAATTTAATATTATGACTGAGATCTCTCTCTCTCTCCCCCCCTCCAATAAGTCCTTAGAGATACAGCTAATGCTCTATCCCAATCCTATCATTCCCCCTTCTTTCTTCTGATGCGACCACCTTCCTGAACTTGATCATTTCTATTGATATTTTTGTAGGGGGATCCTTGGAGGGATACGGCAAAGAAGTTAGCCAGACAGAGGGGCACAGTGCATTCCACACAGAGGGATCAGCATGTGCAAAGGCCCAGAGGCATGGCATACTCACCCGAGAGACTGGTTATGAAGACTGTATTAATCCAAGGGAGACATGGTAGTGGCCTAAACTCAG